GATATATACACGATTCCATTTGTAGAAAATGCAAACTCCTGCTGGAATTTTGACCAGCTTTGTGACAAATCTGTAGATTAACTTTACAGAACTGAGAATTTAAACCTGAGTCATCTGACATTTACCCACTGTACATATCCCCTACGAAGTTCTTTTTCCATTCACCTCAGCAATACTTCATAGTTTTCAGGGACATAATCTTGTACCTCTTTTGTCAGAAGTATCTTTAAATATTCCACTATTTTTATGCGTTTATAAGTGGTGTTGCATTTTTAACTTAACTTTCTTATTGCTGTTAGTATATAGAAATCTTGATTTTTGTATATGGATTTTATATACATCAATTTCTATTCCAGTCTGGATGCATTTTGTTTCTTGGTCTTACATTACTATACTGACTAGAACATCCAATAAAATGTTGACTAGAAGTGGTGAGACCAGACATCCTTTCATTGTTCCCGAACTTAAGGGGAAAACATTATATTTCAAAATTAAGCACAGTGTTAGTGGTAACTTATACATGACAATTATCAGGTTCAGGTTCACAGCAAGTTACAACTGACAAAACTACATTGACCCGTCACTATCACCAAGTCTGTAATTTACACTACGGTTTACTCTTGGTGGTATATACTCTATGGATTTGGACAAATGTGAAATGATAGGGATCCATCATTACAGGATTAAGCACAGTATTCTCACTGCCCTAAAAATCGCCTGAGCTGCATCTACTCATTCCACACACACACACACACACACACACACACACACACCCCACCCGGGACCAATCCCTGGTAGCAACTGATCTTTTTACTGTCTCTACAGTGTTGCCTTTTCCAGAATGTGACAGAGTTGGAATATTACAGTATTAGCCTTTTCAGACTCCCTTCTTTCACTTAGTGATGTGCATTTATTTCTTCCATGTCTTTTCATGGCCTAGTAGCCCATTTCTTTTTAGTGCTGAGTAGTATTCCCTTGCGTGGACAGACCATTGCTTATCCATCCACCTACTGAACATCTTGGTTGCTTCCAAGTTTGCTGTAAACATCAGTGTGCAGGACTTTGTGTGTTTTCAACTCCCTTGGGTAAATATTAAGGAGCATGATCGCTGGGTTACATGGTAAGAGTGTGTTTGGTTTCTAAGAAACTGCCATGCTATCTTCCAAAGCGGCTGTGGGCCAGTCTGCATTCCCTCCAGCCATGAATGTGAGCTCCTGCTGCTCCATATCCTTCTTGGTATTTGGTGTTTGTTGTCAGTGTTTTTGATTTTGGCCATTCTAAGAGATGTGTAGTGGTATCTCATTATTTCTGTTTTTGGCTTTTTTAGAGAGAGACAGAGAGAGTGCTAGCAGGAGGGACAGGCAGATGGAGAGAGAGAGAGAGAATCTCAAGCAGACTCTATCTCAGCATGGAGCATGACACGGGGCTCGATCTCACAACCCTGAGATTATGACCTGAGTTGAAATCACGAGTCGGCTGCCCAACCAACTGAGCCACTCAGGCATCCCATCTCAGTGTTTTAACCTACAATCTGTCTATTTTTAAAATCAATACCTGAGATGGGAGAGCAGAAATTGGAGATGATGACTGTAGGTTTATCCTCGCAGTCCCACTTGTTCCTTTATGCTGTTTGGAAGCTGTATTAGTCAGTGTATAAAGGTTTGAGATTATTTTGTCTTCGTGAAGAGCAGACCCCTGCACCATTACACAGCAGCTCTCTTCATGCCTGGCGATATGCTTCTCAATCTTACCTATTTCATCTTATGTTGATACAGACACTCCGCTTTTCTTTCGTTTAGCGTTACCATGATACAAATTTTCCCATCCTTTTAATTTTAACCCATTTGCATCTTTATATTTACCATGAGTTTCTCACAGGCAGCAAAGAGTTGGGTTGTGCTTTTTAAAAACTCTAATCTGGGGGTGCCTGGGTGGCTCAGTTGGCTAAGCACCTGCCTTCAGCTCAGGTCATGATCCCTGCTCGATGGGAAGCCTGCTTCTCCCTCATCCTCTGTCTGCCACTCCCCCTGCTTGTGTTCTCTGTCAAATAAGTAAATAAATTTAAAAAATCTAACCTGGCAATCTCTGCTTTTTCACTGTGGCATTTAACCAATTTACTCTTAATGAGATTTATATACATATGTTTTGGATTATTTTTATTATTCCATTTGATCTCTTTTATTGCCTTATTTGCTGTAACTTTTTTTGCTTAGTGGTTATCTTAGGGCTTCAGGCATGCATCTTCAATTGACTACATCTTGTCTTCGAGTGACGCTATTCCACTTCATAGCAAAGAACCTTACAACAGTATGTGCACACATTTTCTCCTTCCTCCCTTATGCTTCTCTTCTCATACATTTTAATTCTACTTGTTACACACCCCAAAGTACACTGTTACTATATGAACACAATCTTTATGGACTCCTTCTGCACCTCTGTGTGCCTGATAAGTTTTCGCCAGACTCCCAACCGCCTGCTGGGTGCTCTGGAACATGGTCACACGATGGCACATGGTTTGGTCCTTCAGAGATGGCTTGCTGTTCAGTTTTGTTAAAAAGGACCAGAGCAGCCATTAGTCTGGGGAAAGGAGGGCTGTTTCCCTTGCTGTGCCAGGGCCCTTTTGAACACTCTGCCTGATGCCCTGCGAAGTGCAGGTTTTCCCGTCTGATTGGCAGGCACCCAGACTCTGGCCAGCCTTTTATAAGCCCAGGGAATTTCCCTTTTGTCCTTTACAGTAGTTCTTCCAGTAGTTCTTCCTGCAGTGTCAAGAAGTTCACTCACACAGACATGCTAATAATCAGGACTCAGCTGAAGACCTGAGGTTTCTGGAAGGCTTCTCTAGGGCAGCTCTCCTTCTCTATGCTCTGTAAACTCTTACTTCCCTGGAATCCCAAGGGATTTTCAACTCAGGGAACCAGGGCTCTGGCAGGATCCCCTCCCTGAGATGCAGCATGGAAAAGAACTGCCTCAGGCTGTGAGACCAGTCTTAGGGCTCACCTTGGACCCACCCCCAAACCCCTGCCCAGGGAATCAATGTCCTGTGCTACTTCACGCCTAAGGTTTGAAAAATGCAGCTTCATGTTTTTGTCCTAATTTTAAGTTAGCTCTGGTGGGGTCTCCTGTTACTCCATTTTGGCTAGGAGCAGAAGTCAGATTTGAGTTTTGTCACAGAACTGCTATGATGGCTGATGGGTTCTCTATGAAGTGACCATGAACTAACTTCCAGCTTCTCCAGATGTCGCTGCTTCTCGGAGCCACTCTGGTCACTAACTATGTAACTAGAAGGAATGTCAGCCACACAGGGACGGCAACCCCACAAAGAGTGCTCACCTCTGGTGATGCACATATGGAAGAATGTAAAACACAGGTCTGTGAGTGACATCTGTACTTAGGCAAAGACCTATGGTGGCAACCCTGTGCTTGCTAAAACCATGGTATGTTTGTGCTGACAGAAGTCACAGTATTTGGCCAGACTGGCACCGATCACCTCCAGTTCCTACACATTTAGGCAGTAGGCACTGTGGCACCAGGAGGGCCTCGCCTCAGCCCCCAGCACATGGTTTTCCATTCAGATGCCCTTTGGGGCTCCTACAACCAGCCCACAGATTTTGAAGCAGACTTGTAATATATCAGCGTCTGAGGTCAGTAGAGCACTTTATTTGATGCAGAAAGAAAGGTTAAACCCAAAGCTTACAGGGTCTCTTGTCTATTTCCCAAGATCCCAGCAAGATTGCCAGGTTCAGGGTCTATGGCCATGTTTTTGGCCCTTTGACCTTTCAAAATCCCTCCTTTGTAGGTTGGAATTTTAATCTCTGTACATAGCATCACCTTAAACCGTTACCATTCCTGCTAGGGTGATGCTTTCTGAAATGTATCAGTTCTGTTCTGACTGACAGAGGTGACCAAGGCAGGCAGGAGGAATGGGGTAAATCTCCTCACCAAGCAAGCTGCCACGTTCGCCCGTGATCCTGGGTCCCTGGCCTCCCTGAGGTTTCAGATTCTCCTCCACACACCCTGGCTCCATCTTGGGGTACTGACAGCAAGGGAACCTGGGTGAAGAACAGAGAGGAGAGATGCCCAGCAGGGGCGAAGGGGGAGACACAGGGGGCAATGAATGCCACACAGACCTTCCTCACAGGACTAACCACAGGCCAAAGTGTGTGGCTAGGTGAATCCTTCAACCAAGCCCTACAATCAATCACCCAGTGGAGGGTTTCTCTTTACTTTCTGTGCTACCTGACTTTGTGGCGCCTGGACCAACATGTCTGACCACAATGCCACAACCACAGGTAGTCTATCACCAGGAATGTGAGTATTCATTCCTCCAATACCTTTTTCACTTTTACAACATGCAGGGCCCTGCACTCGTGGGGCCAGCTAGTTAAGAGTTACTCTTACGTCTTTGCAACCAATGCGAGTTTGCTGTTATTTTTATTAGGTGCAGCTATGCCCCCTCCTTCCAACAAGGAGTTATAAAGCCAGAGGATAGAAGAACCAAATAGAGCAGAGGACAGGGCCGTGGGCAGCCCAAGTCAGAGGATGACCTGGCACAAAGGTAGAGCGATCCCGGGTAACCTGAGGACACAGCACAGCGGTCTAAAGAGGGCTCAGCAAGCCACGGCTAGGAGGCCGAGTCCAGGGAACTGTCTCGGCACACCCATTTGTGCACCACGGTCTATCCTCATGCTATAGGGGTCAAGTGGAGTAGGCATGACAGTGTGTGAGCTGTAAAGCCTAGAACAGAATATTTAGTATCCGGTTTTTCATAGAAAAAGTTGGCTCGTGCCTGTTCCAGAGGTAAAGATATTCAAAGTTCTTTGATCCTGATAGAAGAATTCTACATTCTGACTTGACAGTAACAAAACAGCATGCAGCCCACAGATTATGTGTGTCATTTCCCCACAATGCTGCTGAGGCATACCAGCAGCAACACGCTGATTTTCACAGAGGTAAAAATTAGGCACCACTAAATCTGAAATCCTGTTTCCCTCTCATTCTAGAAATTGGATGGTGAAAAAGCAAGCATGAAATTTGCAGGTTTGCTTTGTTTCCTTCTGCTTATCATTTTTCAAACTGATTATGGACGAAATGAAGAAACGCCTAGGAAGCAGCGGAGGAAGGCGTATTACAGGAGACTGAGGAAAAGTTCCTCGCCTGCCCACAGGGCTGGTGGGCAGCTGGGGATCCAGCAGGCGATGGTCACACCAGCAGCAACAATGCCTGCGCTGACCTTGGATTACAGCACAGAGGAAAAGTCTGACTCTGACTCCTCTCCAAGTTTTCTTGGAGTAGAATCAAGTTATAATGTGTTGCCAGGTAAGAAACCAGTGAGAGAGGGGGAGAGAAAAAGAACCTCCAGGAAGAGAATTTTCCAAAAACATTTTTTCAAGTTATCATATATATTAATATATCATATTTAAAGTTATATTTTCAACTTAATATATATTAAGTATATTTTTTCAAGTTACTATAATATCCAGATATTCTATTGTATCTCTTGGTTTAGTCCACAAGGATAAGTTTTGAAATGATTTAAAATTTCATTTACAGAATGTAATTACAATACAAAACTACTGGAAAACAAAAAAATAATTAGCTATCCCACAACTATATTTATAAAACCGTAGTTACTATTTTGGTTTATTAATTTCTAGTCTGTTTCCTATGCCATGTATTTCAAATAACTGGATTCATAATATAGAAAATATACATATAAGGTTATAATCTTTTTCATTTATAATGACAGATCATCTGGGATATAGAAAAATTATTCAGATGATTCCTTGAACACATGGCTATTAACTATTTTCAACCAAATTCTTTTCAACCAAAAGTGGCAGTAAGCCACTGAATTTAGTTTATGTAGAGAAACTACTGGGTAGGGCTGGGTGGTGAGGGGAGGGAGGTAAGGGAGGGAGCGAATGTGAGAGCCCATCTCAGGGTGGAATGTGGGGACAGCGGCTCACCAAACAAAGGACAGGCATCACAAATGACACTAGGTAAGATGGAGAGCTTGTCCTCTAACATTCCAATCCAAGTAGGCTGTGTGATGGCTGCCTTGGTGGACACACTGACCCATATGTCTGTGACCCTGTACGTAGAGAAATGGAGATACTTTGGAAACATTTCCCAAGTATGGCACTGATGATGTGTGAGCTAGTGTTCAGTAACACAGGAACTCTAAAGAGAGGGTCAGCTGCAATCTCTGGCACTTCCCCATCTGCACACGGGTAAGGGTGAGACATGGACTCATAATCGCTGCCCTTCCTGTTCTCTGTCTTCTGGCATCCGACGGACCCACACTGCTGTGTCTCTTCTGAATTTAGATATGGCCTATCATCTGCTTTGCTCAATGTAATGAGACACTTTTAGGGCTCGTGGGGGATTAGCAACCTCTGTCCCTCTGGTTTGGTCTTCAGGGCAGCCTGCCTGGAGATGCAGAAGCCTGCTGATTGTCTCTGAGACTGTCAGGAGCGCGGCCCCTATGTGCCCCTGTTGGACACGTGGCACAGAGAAGCCATCACTGAGACTTGGGGTTCGTTGTAATACAACGACAGACAGAGTATTGGAGGTGCAGCTCAGAGTCAAGTTACCAGGAGCTCAGTCTCAGAGGCTGAGAGCAGAGCATGCGGAAGCTGCTCTGGGGTCACATTTCTGGGGTCTATCTACCCCGCGCGTGAATGCACACAGAATGCCACTCTAGCGTGACTCTGTCAGTTCGGCTTCACGCTGTGCTCACCGTCCTTCACAGGTGCTGGCGACCACACAAGGAATTGACGGTGCTCCTGCTTCTCTTCTAGGAAGGCAGGGTCACTGTCTGGTCAATGGGATGACCATGTACAACCGAGCTGTGTGGTCTCCTGAGCCGTGCACTACCTGCCTCTGCTTGAATGGAAGAGTGCTTTGTGACGAAACTATGTGCCACCCTCTGACGTGCCCCCAAACAGTTACCCCCGAAGGAGAGTGCTGCCCAGTCTGCTCTGACGCTGGTATAAGTATCTAGCCAAAACGCAGTATCACATGTGACTTAGTCTTCCAACTTCCATTGCTTATTTTGTTACTAACTTAAGTTTTAAATTATGGTAAACTAGTCATCAAGGTACTTAAAATACTTGCACAGCGATGATAAACATAGAAGTTATTTGGGAAAATGGATGGTAGGAGGCAGAAAAAAAAGATCTTGGCTTCATAGTTCCAGCTCTACCAGAATGAGTAAACTTGGACCAGACCACATTGTGCACGACGCTCGCTTTAGAGAATGAGTGGCAGGATCTGCAGAGCCAACAGTCCCCAAGTGTCATGCAAGGGAAGAGCTCTGCTGAGCTCCTTAGGCGGAGTAGCTCCCTTAAGGCAATTCAGTGTGGGCACAGTTAAGACCAGGAAGACAAGGAACTTCTGATGAACAAAGGCAGAGAGAGTCTGCATCTAGAGAAGAAAGCCCAATGCCCCAGCCTGCCTGCACTCATTACCGCTCTGGGAATCTGGGGAAATGCAGGCGTGTGGCCCTGGAGCAGTGCCTGTGTCTTGGGAGCACTGCTTCCTGCCACGGGGCCTGCTGAATGTTCACCGTCCCTGCTCTCACGGGGCTCATACCTGAGGGACAGCTGACTCTCGAGATGGAGGCCTAGCCAGTGCCTTCTGAAAGGATGCACACGTGGCAAATAACAGAGACACTTTCTCTTGTCTACAATCAAGGAAGATTATTTTCCATGGACACAGGATAGTTTCAGGGTGGGTGTCCACAACAGCCTCCTACCAGGAAGAACTTTAGAATATTTAGGAATGTAAGCATTTTGGCTTACACTAACATTATTTTACTAAGGCATTATGTCTTTTAAAAATGTTAGCAAATACACAGGCAAGATTCAGAAATTATCAGACATTTTTCAAAGGACTTGGAATAAAATGTGGTTTTTTTTTTGAAAAATAAACTTGGATATACAGGAAGGATTTTAAATGTTTCAATATGATAGCTTTAGCTTCCCTTCCCTAATTTTTTCCTATTTTCCTTTTGCATGTTCTGCCAGGGATGTGAAAAAATAACTACCTGACTTTATAATATATACTGGATTGAGATCTCAAGTAATTCCTTCAAATAGTGCATTTTCTGAGTTCCTTTTCTGGGTGATTTAGGTATAGTATGAAATAAAAGCAGGGCAACGACTCAGGAAATCTGCCATCACTAGAACTCACTTCTTCCAGAGCTCTGGTCACTGTCGGGCCCTCCCTTCTTTCTGCTAAATACCCACACGGGTGAAGGCCCGCTGCTGGCCGTTCTGCTCCTATCATCATGGGATGACGGGAAGCACTGCCATGCATGCCTCTGATTTAAAACCGCATCATTGGAATCCAGGAAGCCCCCCATAAGTGTCAAGTACTAAAAATTTAAGTAGAGAGTCTGGGAGGGAGAAAGGAGAACTTTCTATAATTCTGAATTTCAGAAGATGCTTTTGGGCCTATGGGGCTGAAAGAAAATCAGACAAAAATAATTATAAATCTGCAAACAAAAGCCAGTTTCACTACCACAAGCAAAATATGTTTCACTTTTTTATGTTTGATGGTACAGATTCTTACATTATCAATAGCCCCAAGTAACTGAACAGTATCTATTATAAAGGTCACACCTCATCATATCGCAACCTCACATAGGACTGCTTACCATCCTGCGTCATGTGGCAATATTATTCCCTTTTAATTACCGGGTAGCAAGATATTTTAGTAAAAATAAATATTAAGGCCAAAGGAAAAAACAAAAATTGCTTAAAATAAATCTTATAAAATAGAAATAAAAACTACTTTAAAAACTACTTGAGCAAAAATTCCAAAATTCATTCCACATTTAAATTGCACTCAAATACCTGGAGGGAATAATATTTACTAACCTCACCTCTACTGTGATTTTTCCTTTTACTAACGTTACACCTCGCCCCTGCTATGTCCTCCCTGCACGGCCAGCAACCTCCCATGGTACAGCATTAAGTGATAGAAGTGAATTTTCTGGTGATTCTTCAGAACAAAGAGAACCTACCAACTTACCTCGCAAGCAACTGCCACCTCGTCGGGTGGAAATGGACCAAGTGTTGCAAAAAGAGGAACTTCAGTTTGAGGAGGATGAAGAAGAAAGTAAAGAAGATGAAGATAGGGAGCAAAAGAAACAGACCCCTGAACCTGGAGAGCAGGGGAGACCTCTCAGTGAGGGGCAGAACAGAGGAGAGGCAGAGGAGAGATCCCGAGCAGAGGGGAGGCGGGTCCATCAACAAAGACATCCAGCAAGGGAGGAGGAAGAGGAGGACGAGGAAGATGAGGAGGGGGACGAAGAGGAGGAGGAGGAGGAGGAGGAGCATGATGGCACCCTTAGAGGAGACGTGTTCAGGGGGCCCTCCAGACCCCTGGCCCCCCCTCCTCGCAGAGGCAGGCCGCCTCTGCCCAGCGGGTGCTCCTTGTCCTACAGGACCATCAGCTGCGTCAGCGCCGGCCTCACACAGATACCACCGCTCACAGCACCAGAGATAACAAGCCTGGAGCTCATTGGTAAGAGAAGTGGACGTCTGTTCTGTTTTGTGAATGTAACTCTCCTTGCCCTGCGAAGGTCATACTTTAATTTCATAATATAAGTTGATCCCAAACAGACTAACTTCACAAGCTACAATCATATACATAAACTTCGTAGAAGAAATAGCATGGTTCGGCATAAAGCAAATTTCTCCAAACCAAGTCATGATTTCCCACTGACTTTTTCCCTAAAGTCAGCTTTACTGAGGTATAATTGACATGCAGTAAAACTTATTTTTAGTGTGTTCTCTGAGCTTTGACAGATGTGTACAGTTGCATAACCAGCCCACAATCAGGATACAGAACCTTTCCGTCACCTCACCATGTTCCCTCGTGCTCCTCCTTCTACCAGCCCTGGTCTCTGCTGAGGTGATGGGCCTTCAGGGTTTGGCTGTTCACGGTACGTTACCGAAGTGGGGTCCCACAGCATAGTCTTTTTGTTGGGCTTCTTTTGCTTACCACGATGCTGTGGAGGGCCATCCAGGATGCTGTGGTCATCAGGAGCTGGCCCCTTCCTCACCACTGAGTGGGGGGTGCTCACGTGGATGGACCACAGGTGTCTGGTGAGCCCATCTGGGTGACTTCCACTTTGGGGTCACTATACATACAGTTCTAAAAATATCCATACACAGAGGTTTGTGTGGACCTAGTTTTCTGTTTTTTAAGGTGCACAGCCAGGAGTGGAAATGCTGAATGACAGAGTAAACATGCGTTTAGCTCCAATGGAAAGCACCCCCCCAGTTCCCAAAGGTGGCTGCGGCTTTTCTGCTGGACACAGTTCTGCATCCTGTCACTTGTCTTTCCCTCACGTTAGCCATTCTGGAAGTATGGGATGGTCCAGTCCTCCTCCCTGTGTTCTTATGGGGCTGCTGAAGGGGTTCTGAGTGGAGGAATGGCAGGACCAGGTGTGTGTGTGAGGCTGGATCGTGGGGACCCTGGGTGTACATCCATCTGGGAGACAAGACCCACACCCCGGGAGGCCCAGAAGACACAGGGATGGGAGAATCTGAATGGGGTTTCAGATGTGTCTCAGGGGCAATCACAGAAATAAATTACCAGAGAAATAATAAATATATGACCTTATAAATACACACTCGATAGACCAAGTCTGATGCCTTGGTTGAGGATGGCCAGTCTGTGCTAGGACACCACACTCAGATAACCCCCTAGGGAAATCCCTCATGCCCAGCAGCTCACAACCGAGCAATGTCCCCTCTGCCACAGCTGGCATGTCAGCGGTGCTCTGCCATAAGAAAACCCACGAACAATGAATGACCCGAGCTCAGTCACACCATCGTGGTTTTGAGAAGGTCACCACATGGTTTCTCTAGTACTCACTGCTTCTGGTGAGCTTACGTTTGGGGTTTAAAATCATCAGCTACTGCACTTAACCCAGTGTGAAAACAAAATCCCATAAATTGAAAGCATATAAGAACTTGTACAGATTGAAGCCACACAATCTAACATCAGATCTGGAGGCCACCTGCGCTCCTGGTTTAGAGAAGGAAATTTCAGAAAGGTATGGGATAGGACAGGATTTCTGCCCCAGGATCTAGGACATGTCCATGGGAAAATCAGTTTCTATTAAAGGTTCCAGACATAAAGCTCTGTTATAAAATGCATAATGCTAACAGAATTATCCAGCGAACCCCACTCGAGCTGTTTTCACAGCAGATTCATCTAAAACAGGATGGCCACGAGCACAGCGAGCCCTTTGAGTGGAGGTTCTGGCCCCAGGCTGAGGTTCTCTGCACTTGCAGCTGCTTATACAGATGCTGTCAGCATACGAGTACTGCCTTCTCCTCTGGGGAGAGCTCCCTTGCTATCTACGTCCGTTCATGAACACACGTATGTGCCCACGTGTGCACGGGGGCCTAAACCACAGCTGCTGTGTTTTCTAGGCAATGCCATCACCAGCGTTCCCGACGGAGCCTTCAACGGACTGCTGAATTTGGAAAGGCTCGATCTGAGCAAAAACAACATCACCTCCGCAGGCATCGGTGCAAAAGCATTCAAGGTAAATACACAGTGTGGGTGAGGAGCCTTTGGACCGGTCTGTGCTGGCGGCAGGGCAGGGAGCGAAAGGAACATGGCTTCACTGTAGCTTCCTCCTAAGTCAAGAAAGTTTCCTTTCTGACATTCCTAAACTCTTCAGGTCTTACCTTGATTCCAGTCTGTTGTTTTATGTGATTCTAGCTGGTTTTCGAGGTTTTACCCTTAGAGCACCTACAACAGCAAAATGACAAAACCAATGTTTTGAACTTACGGAGCAGTTTCTCTCCAAGCAGCTGAAAACATGTTGAAATATGGTCTCTTAGTACGTGAGGTATTTCCAGGAATAAAGGAGAGCTTATCTGGAAACTCTATTAACATTTTCAGGCCAGAAAGTGCTTCATTATTTTGTGCCAAGGGCAAGACCTGATAAACATGTGAGCAGGAGGGGTTCTAGAAACACAAGCAGATGCAGATGAAAATTAGCACAGGGAATGGTGGGGGAAAGGTGAGGGAGAGAGAGGCAACAAACAGCATGGAATAAGCCTCTGCAAGACTTGGGTGTGACTAAAATATTTTCTAAAAAGCAGAAAAGAAGAGAGGATCAAGGAGTTTCAGAGAAGCCAACATACAAGCAAAAAAGGAGGGGGTCTGCATGTGTAAACAAATACACTCGTGTGCCCTTTTAAGAAGCCCAGTGAAACCTACTACATCCCACTAGGCCAAACTTCATCCCCTTTACGAGCCTTCTTACAAATTCCTGGGCTCGTGTCCCGTTCAAGTCGCAGACATGTTCTTGTCATACAACAGCTGGGAATCACACATTTCCTGTGTTTGATCAGAAAGACACACAGGAGGGTGTCTCCTTTTCTTGTTTTGAGATCCTCTGTCCCATTCCCAAACTGCTCAAGTCTGACGGAGTGCCCTGAGGCGAGTCACCCGTGCGGCCCCCCACTGCGGTGGGGGCCGGCACTCAGGCGGACGAGCACACAGCTGCAAACACCGGCGCACACCCTCCGACAGACTGTGTGGGTGCCGCAAAGGGACAGCTGCTGGTTTTTGCAGCACGCCATTCTGAAGCACTCACCCCATGATCAGTGCCCTTTTATGACTGTTCCTACTAGTCTAACTACACACTGAGATGTACAAGTCCACGGCGGCTGATTTCATTGCCAGTATCCCCAACAGATTCCGCTTACTGCACAATCTAACGTTGTGTCTACTGCTGAGAAGGTGGAAACCCAAGATCTAGCAAAATCGGAGTGGTCCAGCAGTGACAGGGGCTTTCTCTTGCTCACGAAAGCCACGGGTCAGAAGCAGGGGAGTGGCAGGAGAGCACGCAGCTTCCGTGGGCCCGAGGCAGAGCAGGCAGGTTCATAAGGCAAGTTGCGACTGCACTCTGAAGGACTGTGTATCTGTGACCGTGTGAAAAGGTAATCCTGACATTTGCTTTTCAAGCTTCTGAAGAAATTAATGCGCCTGAATATGGATGGAAACAATCTGGCAGAGATTCCTTCAGAATTACCATCTGCATTAGAAGAACTTAAAATCAATGAGAACAACCTGCAGGCTATCAATGAAGAAAGCTTATCAGGTACTTAACTTCCAGTTCCTGGGTGTCCTAGTCTAGCCTGTCTTCTGTGGCCGTGCAGGGACTTTATGGGCACTACGGCCGTAAGGATAGCTGGTGAGTTTCTTAGGCCACCTTACCATTTAAGATCACGACATTTATTTTCTTCTTTTGTGGTGGACTCTGGACCAAAATGAACAACTGAAGTTGTCATACTGTGAACTCGGCACAAAACACGCAGCATGTTAGCTTTTCCCAAACGCTAGCCAGGGTCTGTGGTGGGATCATGTGCAAAGACAGCTAGTGTTGCCTTCCACCTTCCCAGCAGTCTAGCAGCGCCTGAGGTACGGGTTCCAACACCTTCCACCTATTGGAAATATTTTTACATTAATGTTGATAACCCAAGACTAAAAAGGAATAAAACCATTTCACTATATCTTTTCACTCCCAAAAAACTTCATAGGAACAAAACACTTCTGGTGATGGGAGAAAACACAATAATACCAAGAATTGCCAAGTCTGAAAATTACAGAGTTATGGAAATACTCTCTTTCCAGATGGACTGCAGGGTACACATGAAAAACATCAGTAAACACAAATGGTGATGGGCTTTGTCATATGGAAAAGACATTAGAAAGTACAATTTTTAACTGTCAGGTGAAGCAGGGCCAAAGGAACATGTAGATCAGCGCCCTGATGGGCTGAGTGTGAACCACACGTGAGGTCACCTCTGGCCGCATTCTCAAGAGGACGTGTTACAAAACAGAAGCCCCTCCCTGGAAGGTGTGAACACACGATCCTGGCCGCTGCTTCTCCACACGCTCCCTCCCCTCCCGTCCCCAAAGTCCAAGCACCATGGAGGCCTCGGCCACAAGGAGGGGCTCAAGTCACCGTGCCCAGAGAGCCTTGACCCTCTGTGCTAAGCCCACTGCCCGGATTGGCGAGCGGCTGGCAGCAGGCGGCAGGCAAGGTGTGCCCGTGTGCAGCTACCACCACTGCTGGGAATCTGCCCGTTCAGGACTGGAGCCCCCAGCTTGACTGTCAGGGGCCTGCTGCTCTCCCATGTGGCAGGTCTTCTCGCACGACCCTTCACATTACAGACAGTTCCGGGTAAAGGGGGAGAAGGGACACTCCAGGGCAAAGGTGTGTGGAAATAGGAGGATCCAGATGCCACGGGTGTGCTCGTAGCAGGCCCCCACTCTGGACACTTTGGGACCGTGCGCCCCCATGTCCGCGACCTACCATGTTGCTCCCCACCCCACCATGGGAACGATTTCCTACCAGCTTCCTGCGTATAAACCCTCATTATACTTACTGCATCTAACCTCCTACAACCTTCTCTAGCTCCGCCCTGTCCCCGTCACAGGAGCTCACATCCTATGTTTCCTACACAGATGATGTATACAGAAACCAGAGAGTACCTGTGTGTGCCATGTCTCTCTCTCATGGGGTCAACACTGGCCATTAATCTATCTTTATTACCTGTTTTCGACGAGAAAACTTCCATTACATTCTAAAACCTCAACTATACACAGATAAATATGCTGGATTCTTAGTATCTTTGGTTTTGGAAATCAAAGAAAATATGAGAACACGTGACCACTTCTCCGCTTATTGTCTGGGCTCCCTGCTTCCTTTCAGCCCTTCACCTAACGCTAGAACAACTGCCAGGTTCGTGTTTTGTCATGCTGTCCCTGCCCAGGGTACCTCGCTGCCTGGAGAGGAATGCCAGACCTTACCATCTGGTATCTGAAGGGCTTGCACCCCTCCAGCAGACAGTCCACCCAAGGCAGGCCTCGCGCCTACCACTGAGCACAACCATATGGGTTTTTACCCGTCCACGTTCACCTGGCTGCCTCGGCCTCCCATTTCTACCCACGTCTTCCTGTCCTTGGGAGCCCAGCCCCACCCACACGTCCACACCACCCCTGTGGTCCTCTGCACCTGTGATCTGCATTCCTCATGGTCCTGTCCCTTGCTCATGCTTGGACTATGTCTTATTTCTCTAATGTGCTGTACAGAGCATTCAGAGCAATGCCCGTGACTTGAGTTGAAGATGAAACATTCCTATTCTAGAAATCTTGGCCACTGAACAAACTCCAAAGTTACACCCTGAATGTCTGACTCAGATGCCTCTGGGTACCATCACTGCTGCGCTGTCCATGCTCCTGGAGGATTCCAAATGATCTGAGTCATACCACTCCTGAGGCCAGCAGAAACGATGCAGGAAAGCTTGTTTTTTGTATAAAGGCCTTTCTTGGTAGCTCAGTCTCAGTGTGTGGAGAATTCTTGATCATTCTCCTTTCCAAACATCCATTTGGCTGCACTATCTACCAGGAAGTAAACAAGTGTGATGGGAATTCATTGCTGTAACTCCCTTGTTCAGAGGCTGACATTTGCCAGGCAGACTGCTCCCACACTCCCCCAGCACCCCCAATTATGCTGCCATGCCATAAGCACATCCACATCTTCGCAAAGGCTTTATGTGACCTCCACAATCTTCTACTTCTACTGTGTCCTGAGTCCCCGCTTGGCCGCCACTACCCTTGTGGGGAACCCCACTCAGCTTCTGTTCCTTAGCCATCCCACAGCTCGGTGACTTCTCTGCAGGCGCACCTCCCCCCGGACCTTGCGTCCAGCTTCCAGTCCTGGCTGAGCTTAGCATCTAGGGTGTGCAAAGCACTTTTAGGAAGGCTCTGCATAGGGAATACCAAGAAAGCAGCAACATTCACCCTTCAAACAAACTGAACATTTCACAAGATGTTTTGAAAGATGAAACTCCATGGTTCTTTGGTTTTTCTAATATTCTGAAAATTATATTTTATTTTTTATAGACCTAAATCAACTGGTCACCTTAGAGCTGGAAGGAAACAATCTCAGTGAAACCAATGTGAATCCCCTGGCTTTCAAATCTTTGAAGAGCCTATCCTACCTGCGTCTTGGAAGAAATAAATTCAGAATTATACCACAGGGCCTTCCTGCTTCTATTGAGGTACCTGTATCTTTCTAACAATGTTTTACATTTTTAGTACAGTACACTTCAATAAGACAAACAGTATTATTCTAAAAGATTGTTGTGATGTAGAGTCCGTTTTGGTGCCATACACTCTGCTATAATTTGAGCACAGCTGTTTCTTCAAACAATACTAAATTATGAGTCAAAATTGTAATTACTAGTGGAGACCTTTGATAAAGTGACAGTTGGTTTTACTGACAGCTCTTGGGAAGATGAGCTGAGAATTTAAACAGAAACTACAACTTGCAAGATAGTTTCCCAGTTCTGCCCAGCCCCCACCAAGGCCAAGCACTGCCCTTCCCACCTAGGACCCAGGAGTGTGGCCTTCTTCGCTGCAGCAAGGAACATATGTCACACACTCTGGGGCCCTCACTGCCCAGTGCATGCCTGACTTCCAGCCCTGAGAGCAGAGGTCTGGCAGACCCAGCTGGGCCCAGGCTGACTGCTCCGAACTGTTCGCCCGCAGGCAGGAGTACTCAGCAGGAAGGCAGGACGGAGCTTCCCACAGCTGTGGGCCCGCTGTGCCAGCAAAGCTGGCGGCCTGGGTCTGACGCAGAGCCATAGCACCTCCTCTCCTCATCCTCCTATCTGCTGATCAACATATCAGTTTAGAATTTATCCAAATTGTAAAAATTGGGGTTCCGATACTAGGCTTTATGTCCGAATCTCTTGGATCCTTAAGAAATACGGATTCCATACCCTACCCCAGACTAGGTTCTTTGGAGGGTGGGGTCAGTAATTTGTAATTTTTTAAATTAAGACTTTAATACCTAATGTACGCACATAGTAAAACACACACCAGCTGAACAGTAGGGAGGCGCAGCATGTCTCCATCTGGGTTTTCTCTGCAGATGGCCCCTCTCACTGGTATGGGGGGCAGTGTCCATGCAGATGCATGTGCTCTGACCCCTTCGAGGGCCCTGCTTCCAAGAGACAGAGTCTAGCGTATGGATGAGTGTGCTTTAACTGTAGTAACTTTAAAAAGCTCACAAGTGATTTTAATATGCAACCAAGTTTGGGAACCACTGATCTGGTTCACCTCTAAGTATGTATGAAGTTAAAAGCAAAAAGCTAAAAATTGCTTTACTCCTATCTAATAAACACCAAAATTAAGTGAAAAGAAGGGAAAATTACTAGGAATAGAAAGTTACATTGAAGACACATACCAATGTCTACTTCCGAGCTTCTTAAGTGAAAACTTCCACTAATGTCAAATGAATTAACTTGAAGGCAGCTCACTGTTGAAAACAATAGCTCTAGCAAACTTTACCCCGATGTTAAATGAGGGTTCTTCATTAACTATAATACAAGCAAGTCTAAAACCCTGACAGGTAGCACAGACTGCTGAGAAGTGGCATGCCCTAGAGCTGGGGGGAAGGTGGGGGGGAGACACGTGTCTCCTGGGCAACCTCTCTCCAGGCCCGAGTGTCTCCACTACTGAACAGGGATGATCATTTCTACCAATTTTTAGGGTTTTGAAACGCAAATGAGGTAATTTACATGAATAAGTTTTGTAAATTAGAGAACTTTATACAATTATTATCATATGCTGTATTTTGCAAGATTTTACAATTAAAAATTAATTGAATTCCATGACCATGAAAGATGGTACATTTTATTTCACTAATTAGATAGGACAACTTACAACAATGAATTCACTTGGAAGAGCAGCAGAAGACTCTCCAGATAATACTAATGAGAATAGTCCACAGTACCATTTCCATTTCTGTGAAGCTGAATATATGTACCAAGCAACAAAGAAAAATAGCCTTTTCTCTTAATTATAGGAATTATACCTAGAAAATAACCAAATTGAAGAAATAACTGAGATCTGTTTCAACCACACCAGAAAGATCAATGTCATTGTGCTACGTTATAATAAAATTGAGGAAAGCAGGATTGCTCCTCTAGCCTGGATAAATCAAGAGTGAGTAGACAATGCTCTTTGCCTTTCTGAGACAGTTTCTTCCTTCTGCCATTACTGCCCAGGGTCTGAATGTGGGGAAGTGAACTTAGTGATGGCACTGCTCCTTTGCGATCCGGCCCCTCCCCAGAACCCGGGTATTTGCTTGGAGCTTGTATCGTGGATGGTGTTGGGGTGACCATGGTCACTGCTGCTGTGTACACCCTGCCGGGAACCCAAGCGGTGAGGGATCTGAGGTCTGTCCTCACAGGTGGCTGTGCAGTAGAAGGAAGGTCATCTCTGCCCCCTCCAACCCCACCCTGCCATGGGACCAGCAGGCTCCCCTGTCCTACGCCGCACTGTCTTCATTCCTCCGAACCATTTCTCTATCTCAGGTCTTATAGAACAGACCTAACGGTGCTTGGCCTGACCGAGAAGGTTGGAAGCAGGGCCCATCCTCCTGGCAAGGATGCAGGGTGGGAGTCTTGCCTGTCAGAAGGGGCAGGGTGGGCTGTGTGGTGAGGGCACGAGGGATCTGGGTGAGACAGAAGGAAGAGGCATCTTTCAGGCGCAGGAGAGAGGGATGAAAGGGTGTGGAGGGCCAGCCAGGCCCAGCAGGATGTGGTGGTGGCAGGGCGACTCGGAAGCCACAAGGGAAGCTCAGCACACAAGCCCCCGCATGCCAGGCCATCAGGGCCGGTGTGGAGCAAGAATGCAGATTCCACACCACCACCACATCCTTGCTGGCACCAGGGGCGATTTCAGGGAGAGGCAGCTTGATAACAGCTAGGACTTCGTTCCCAATTCACGTTTGACCCTAGAGATAGTGGTTCTTTCTGAACCTGGCACTCCTTGTAGTAGAGTGGGAGCCGTGGTGCAGTGCCCAGGAAAGAGCAGGAGCCTCGCGGCTGGATGGGGCAGGCCACCACACAGCCACCCTCAGTGGCAGTGGCAGGAACACGGCCGAGCATCCCGACCGGCCCTGTCAGCCCGGAGCTGACGGTCCCTGCCTTACACTGCGCCCTGCTCCTTCTCCTTTGCTGCAGAAATCTAGAGTCCATCGACCTCTCCTACAACAAGCTCTACCACGTCCCCTCCTACCTGCCCAAGTCCCTGCTGCACCTCGTGCTCCTTGGGAACCAGATCGAGCGCATCCCTGGCTACGTGTTTGGCCACATGGAGCCAGGCCTGGAGTACCTGTACCTGTCATTTAACAGACTCTCGGACGACGGTGTGGACCGAGTCTCCTTCTATGGGGCGTATCATTCTCTGAGAGAGCTGTTTCTGGATCACAATGACTTAAAATCTATACCACCTGGAATACAGGAAATGAAAGCACTACATTTTCTGAGGCTGAACAACAACAAGATACGGTAAATTTTGGCTTTTTCAAGTATCGATTTGAATTGCTGTGGCTGACAGAGCATATGATTAAACAACCATGACATGATGTCTGGGATTTACTTCTAAGGGGAAAAAGAACAAGAGGTCACATTAAACAAGACTGGCAGATGTCTGCAGGTACACGAGGATTCATTATAGCTTTTCTCTATGTGTATCTATATTTGCAAACTTTCACAGTAAAAACCCTTTAGAATAGAACATTACTGCATACTACTGGGAACCCAGGAGGTGGACGATTATGCTGCTTCTACCTCCGTGTGTAATTTTAAAAACTCTAATCTGTAGAGAATAAAACCTAAATATACGCTAAAATCGGAACTGCTTCTATCTAGATTTTTTCTGAAGGTAAAACTCTGAATAAAATTATTGAGACTCAGCTTCTCTCACTTCTGGGGACACAGTTTCCGGTCTGCCTAGAGAGCATTAAGTTCTCAAGGATTAATCTGGAATGTGTTGGTGGTAGTGCAGTCATAGGCCAATCCCTGAGGTGGGCTCCTGTCCCTGAGGAGTATACCCCTTCCTCTCTTCTTGCTACAATCCAAACACAATTTCCTAAAAAGCATAAGGGAAGAATCACGGGTATATATGCAACTCATGAATCACTGAGCACTCATCAAAAACTAATGAAATACTACACAGTGGCTAACTGAACATAATAAAAAGAAAAAGAGTCACGGGTGTTGAACAGTGCAGGGAGAGAGGCGGGACTGGGGAAGGCTTTGTAACATTCGGTAAAAAGCTGCTTGGCTAAGTACGTCATAGGCTGTGGCTGGGCTTCCTACTTATTGCACAGGGACGCACACGCCTGTCCCACTTCTGGTGGGATTCAGGTGGTCACAGTCTGGAATCTCCATTAATCCCTTTCTCCTCCCCTCTGAACCAATGGCAGATTGAGTGCTGCATGAAACTCTTATTTCCTGAGGGGCAACAAAATAGTGCCTCACTCTTTTTGTTACCCTTTACACATCTGTTAACAGGAATTCCTCTGTAAAGGATATTTTTTTATCCTTTATCAGTTAGGGTCACTTTGTTATTACTCTGAAAGGTAAGACAAATGCCCAGTTTCTTTCCTTTAAATGTCCAATCAGACCAAAAAGCTGGCTACAAATATCTAACCATGTGAGCTGATGGATATTAACTAAACTTAATGTAATGATGATCATTTTGCAATAAATACAAGTATCAAATCATGTCGTATACCTTAAACTATTATCATGTTGTATGTTAATGCTATCTCTATAAAACTGGAAAACATGATACATGTGTATTAGGTATGAATGGAAAAGGACTATACAATATATTAAAATGTTAACAGAGGCTGTCTCAGGAAAAAAAACTTGGTGCCTGTTTCTGTTTTATTATTTTGTTTTTGGCTTTCTTTTTCTGGACAATCAATTTTAACTTACGGGTTTTTGTATTTGGAATGTTTTAATCAAGTATAACTATTGTTCCTAAACCCCACTCCTTGGCGGGTGGTAGCCCTCTGTGGGTCCTGGGTGGTGCACTTCTCCGCCCCTACTGTGCACAGCCTTCTTTCAGAGGTCCCCACGTCTCCCTCATGGGAGCAGCATTCACATCACACGCCCCAGACTGGGGACCAGGCATGTTCCCTTCTAAAGTGGTGTTACAGTTTCGCGGCCTTGCAGTGAATTACCAGGAAATACGTATTTTGTAAAGAAAAAAAGAACAGGACTTCATACTGATGGTCCCAATTCTAATTTAACCATATAGAGTATTCTCTGTTTTAAATTTGTTTATCTCAGACTAGGAATCTAGGTTCCCAGTAACATTAACTAATTATCTTACAATATACAAATAATAGTTTCAAAGTAAGAATGCCATTATCACAACAACAAAAGTACTGAATGAAGTATATGGTGTTTTAGGGAACTCTCTATTTGTCTTTAAAATATGATCCTCGAGGACATGTGGCAGAAGTATAGTGGTTTTCAAACTCTGTGACAACATGTCAATGACCTGACACTCTGATAAGGGTTTTAGCTGGTTTTTGGTTTGTAGGAAATGCTATTTCCTATTTAATATTATTTTGACTATGTTAAATGTTTATAAAATTCCAAAGTCAAAACTGTAACAAGGTATATGAAGCCTTTCTTCTTTGCAGGTCCCATATGCGATACTCCATCATTCCCCACAGGTTAATTCTTTTAAAATTAGTTGGTAGTATCCCTCGTATTTCTTTTTGCAAATATAAGCATACGTGCACACATTCATATTCCCCACCCATCCCACAATTCCCACACGAATGATGACACAAAGATTTTTTTCTCTCTCTCTCTCATTATTTTTTTTACTCAGTATGTCCTATCACTCTTTAACAATATACAGAGAATTTCCTTAGTCTTTTTACAACTGACCAGTATTCCATTATGTGGATATTTTATTTAATCGGTTCCTTAGACACCTACTAGGTTTCCTGTCTTTTACTACTACAAACAATCCATAAGGCATAACTTTGTTTGGATGGCATTTTATATTTTTCTGACCTAACTCTGGATGAGGTTCCTAGCTGAGTGAAGGGAGATGCTGCCTGGTCCCTGGTCCTGGTCCCTCCCTCCAGGGATGGGGTTCCCGCACAGCCCCAGGACCAGACCATGTTAATGAGCTTATGAATGTTTCTGTGTGAGGCAACCCTTGTCAGTGGTGCTGGTGTGGCAGGATACTTGCAGTTTGCGTTTCTCTTGTCATTAATGAAACTAAGCACCTCTTCATGTTCCCATGTCATTTCTTTTTTTCTTCAGTGAACTTGGTCAGCCAGGCATTTCCCTCTCTTCTTTTTCTGCCTGGGTTTTTAAGAAGGCTTTGTACATTAGCCCCGTTATTGCAAAAAAAATTCTCCTAGTTTGTCATGTCTCTTAACTTTGCATTTTTAAAAGATCTGTAGTCGATTTATTAATCTTTCCTTTTAGTGTTTCTCATTTTTGAGTCAAGGGAGATTTTTTTTTTTCCGTTCCCAGGTTATACTTTATTCTACTCCTATGGCTTTATTTTGCACATCTTTGACATATTTGAAATTTTTTCTAGTGTACAAGAAAAACATCCAATTTTATTTTAGGAACCAAAACATTTTAAAACAAATGGACAATTTAACTCCTGCTGACTTGTATCATCTATTTTTCCTCAGGAATATTCTTCCAGAACAAATTTGCAACGCTGAAGAAGATGGTGATTCAACCCTGGAGCATCTTCATCTTGAAAACAATTTTATTAAAACAAGAGAAATATCATCCTATGCATTTTCATGCATAAGATCATACTCAAGTATAGTTCTTAAACCACAAAACATCAAGTAATTCCAGGTTTTTGTTCACCACTTCTAACCTGTCCTCTTACATTTGCGGCAGCAGCATCTGTCATTGACAAGTGAGACCCCACCTGACTTGCCACCCCACAGAGAAACGACCAAAACATGCCCCACGTTTCCTTCTCCAGCACTTTTAGTGAAAGTTTCAGCTTCACACTCCAGAAAAGAAGTCCTCTCCCTGCAAGCTTTTTTACAGAACAGGATGTTATTCACTGTTCACTTAGACTGGGAAAAATCCAGAGCAAAATAAGTAATGACCTTTACAACTGGCCTGAGTATTGCTATTAACTGGGACCCTCAAAGCCCCTTTAAAAATCATTTGTGTTATGGTTCAAGAGCAAGAAGTGTACGACAGGAAAAAATAATAGCTGGAATTTATGAATTAGTGTTCTGTTAGTTATCCTACTGTTAAAACAATAATCTATTCATTTTCTATAAGATCCTATGCTACAATTATTGTATAATATACTTAATGATTGGCTTTGCTCTAATTCTTCTAATAATCACACATGTGAAATTAAAACACTACTGTCACGTAATTTCCTGGTTTTGAGAATTGTAGTATGTTTACATATTGGTTTTTAACATTAGAGGAAGCTGGGAGGAAGGTATATGTGAACTCTACACTATTTTTGAAACTTTTCTGCAAGTCTAAAATTTGTGTCAGTCTAAAAAAATTTAAGAATATGCTCATTATTCTTTATTCAAGATCAAAAGATTTTATGGAAAGTAGTGGAGTTTGTTTAAAAGATACGAATTGTCCTTGCTACAACCTTATAAATATAAACCTAAGCACGCGTTTTTGAAAATTTTTGCTCCATTGGTCATTGTTAGCACCTACCTTCTTTGCCCTAACGGGCTCACAAGTATCCTTTTATTCAGTTCAATTTAACATAAAGCTCTTAGCATTTACTATGTACTAGAACCTATCAAAACCATATGCTATTAAAATTTTCATTATGTAATGATCTTTTGTCATTATTTCTAGACTAATTTATAAAGGACACATATAGAAACTGTGTTGACTTCTCTTGCTGCTCTCAGTTTTGTGTCTGCAAAACATGAGACTAGGAGCTTATACTCAGGTCACTCCAACTTTTCAAACTTCAGTGACCCCATCTTGCAATAGTTGTCTCCCCACCCGAGGGAGCTCCCAGCCTGACTTCACAGAGAACCAGACAGCCATGAGAAACATCTGCAAGTGTGGCATGCAAGTGCATGCACTTATCACCGACCTTCCAGATCAAGGTGCTAGCCACCAGCATAGTCACCAAAGCTAGTTCCTGAGCAACTTTCCAAGATGTGAGTTTGATTTTATACCACTTGAACTAATTCTGTTTATTTATTATTTTTTAAAGATTTATCTATTTATTCGAGAGCCTGAGAGTGAGTGCATGGGGTGGGGGGCAAAGGGAGAAAATCTGAAGCAAACTCCCTGCTAAGTGCAGAGCTCGATCTCATGACCCTGCCATCACGACCAGAGCTGAAACTGAGTCGGACACTCAACTGACTGGGCCACCCAGGCGGCCCTTATTTATTTTTTTTAATTTTATTTTTAAGTAATTTTCACACCCAGTGTGGGGCTTGAACTCACAACCCTGAGATCAGTAGTCACATGCTCCATGGACTGAGCCAGCCAGGCACGCCAAGCTAATTTTATTTCTAAGCCCTTCCTTCTAAGCATCCTCTTGTAATAGCTAGGATTTTGATATTGTAACATGAACAATAACAATATGATGACGGCTGTTAGAATCAGGGCAGGTGGCTAAGAGAAGAAGCAGAATCTTATGGAACAAAAAGTTGAGATTTATAACCAGTTAAGAAAAGTAGGACCATAATTAATTTAAACTGGCCAACTTGAACGTAAGAGACAATTAAAACAAGAAGATACAGTCACTCATCCCTTTAACAAGAACCCTTCCATTATACTTCCTGCTGTGTTAATATAAATGCACTGACATAATCATTTAAGGAGCTAGGCAGCAAAGTGTAAGGTGAGTCAACAGAGTTTGCATGCTAGGACAATGCTGATGGATACTGAGCCATTTCTCCAACTGACTTGAACCTGTGTTCCAGATGCTGTTGTAGAGAGAGACAGGGATGAACAGAACTGACGAAGTCTCTGCTCTCTGGGAACACACAGTGTGGTAGGGAAAATAAGCAGGATATCAGACAGACAGTCACATCAAGGACAACCAAATGCAACGAAGTCAGCAGAACAGGGTGGTAATGTGGTGAAGCTGGGGTCCTTTGCTCCCAGATCCTGGGTCTCGGGACTGTGCAAGCCCCATCACCCACATTGAGGTGCTGCCTCCAATGCAGCTGTGGAGTGACCCCAGGTCCTGGTGTACATGAAGACCCCCCTGTGCAAGTGGGATACCCTGACAGGAACAGAATCTCTAGGAAGGCTGGAAATCAGAGTGACTGAAGGAAGAACTGCTCCTAAGTTGGAAGACACTTTTATTTCTGATTTTATAACTTAAAATATAAAATATGTCTAGCACTGAACTTGTTCAGCCTTGAAATTTCATCATTTCCTGTACAGGAAGTTTTAATTCCATTAAAAAAAAGTGATAAATGTCTTTATAGCAAATATTCTTCGTGATGTAATGTTACAAACAAACAGATGTTCTGCTTGGCTTCAGAAATATGCTGTAATTATAAGCACACATGTACACTAAGAAAGTTCTGGTGTAGCTATGACCAAAAATATTAATGGTGTGTTATCTTTGCACACACATACAAAGAATGCTAACTATATATATACTAAATATAGTAAAAACTACATTTTTACTTTTCAGATATGGCTTAAGATTATTACAAAAAAGCTCTAAAGATATGACATGGTCAAAGACACATAAGGCCTGGAATTATAAGGAAATAACTACACCAGGAATCAGGGCTGGGTGCCCACCTTGGTCTCCAATTACTTGTTTACAGCCATTTTACTTGTCGGGGATCCCTTCAATTATAAAACAATGTATCTGGAACGGACCAGTGGTCTTCAAGGGGTCTGTGGTGCCCTGGGCTGGAAGCGTCCCTGAAGAAGTACGCAGACTCCCCTTCAGACAGAGCAACTCTGCTACCTCCAGAAAGATGAGCTGCGCCTGCCCGCCCTCGCTTTTTCTTAGAACCAATGGACAGGTGCTGTCTGAATCACAAACCGAACTTAACGATTTACAAAGAACATGCACCTGAGTCCCTGGTCCTTCCCTAACCCTCAGCCCAGCTCCCTTCACTCCTACAACACATGGCTGGAGACCTTGGCCTGAGCATGGACTACAGCCCGCCTGGACGTGGCCAGCCTCCCCGTGCGCTGGGCAAGGACGTCTAATTGGCGTGTCTGCTCCTTTGCAGCTGCACCACAGTGGGGTGGGACTGCTGCCCTCTGACCTGACCCTGGAAAGCAGGTGGCTGGGGGAGCACAGAATTAGATGCTGCAGCAAGGGTTGGTAGGAGCCACTTGGAAGCAACATGGGGCATGTGGCTGAGCCAGGACTTACTCTGAAGTCCAAAAAGCAGAAAGTCTAGACACCTGAGTGGGCGCTGGGCACCTGGTGCAGTGGGTGCTGCCAACAGAGGTGAGCAAGATCCAACGGCCTGTCCGCGGGCTTGCGCTTCCACTGACTCCACACATCACCCAGGGAGTCAGCCTCACCAAGTCAATTACTTTTTAAAGATGACCGCTTTCATTAACATAGAAAAAAAGGAAAAAAATTCATTTTTTGTAGTGTCTTTGTCTGGCTTTGGTATCAGGGTAATGCTGGCCTCACGGAAATTAATTTGGAAGTTTTCCTTCCTCTTTTATTTTTGTGGGATAGTGTGAGAAGAACAGGTATTAGCTTTCTTTAAATGTTGGGGAGAATTCACCTGTGAAGCCATCTGGTCCTAGGCTTTTGTTTGTTGTTGGGAGTTTTCTGATTAGTGATTCAATGTCTTTGACGGTTACGGGTATATTCAAATTTTCTGTTTCTTCCTGATTCAGCTTTGGGAGCTTATAGGTTTTTAGGAATTTATCCATTTCTTCAGGATTGTCCAATTTGTTGGCAAATAATTTTTCATAATATTCTTTTGTAATCCTTTATATTTCTGTGGTGTCCGTTATTATGTCTCCTCTCTCATTTCTGATTTGAGTCCTGTCTCTTTTTTTCTTGATGAGCCTGGTAAAAGTTTATCAATTTTGTTTACTTTTTCAAAAACCAACTGCTGGTTTCATTAATCTGTTCTATTGCTTTTTTATCTATTTCATTTGCTTCTGCTTTAATCTTTTTTTTTATTTATTTTTTTAAGATTTTATTTATTTATTTGACAGACAGAGATCACAAGTAGGCAGAGAGGCAGGCAGAGAGAGAGGAGGAAGCAGGCTCCCTGCTGAACAGAGAGCCCGATGCGGGGCTCCATCCCAGGACTCTGAGATCATGACCTGAGCTGAAGGCAGAGGCTTTAACCCACTGAGCCACCCAGGCGCCCCTGCTTTAATCTTTATTATTTCTTTTCTTCTACTGGTTTTGGGTTTTGTTCTTCTTTTTCTAGCTCCTTTTGGTGTAAGTTTAGGTTGTTTGAGATTTTTCTTGCTTCTTGCCGTAGGCCTGTATTGCTCTAAATTTCCCTCTTAGAACAGCTTTTGCTGAATCCAGTGATTTCGGACCATTGTGTTTTCATTTGTCTCCATGCACTTCGTTTATTTACTTATTTATTTATTTATTTTTTAAGATTTTGTTTATTTATTTGACACAGAGAGAGAGAGAGCACAAGCAGTCAGAGTGGCAGGCAGAGAAAGAGAGAGAAGCAGGCTCTCTGACAAGCACGGAGCCTGATGGGGGAATCAGTCCCGGGACTCTGGGATCATGACCTGAGCCAAAGGCAGCTGCTTAATGGACTGAGACACCCAGGTGTTCCATGAGTTGCTCTTTCATTTCTTGGTTGACCCACTCATAGTTTAGCAGCATGTTATTTAGTCTCCATGTATTTGTCTTCTTTTTAGACTTTTTCTTAGGATTGATTTCTCTTTTCATAGTGTTGTGATCAGAAAAGATACATGATATGATTTCAACCTTTTTGAATTTATTGAGACTTGTTCTGTGACCTAGCATGTGCCCTATTCTGGAGAATGCTCCAGAATAGGGCACTTGAAAAGAATATGTATTCTGCTGGTTTTAGATGGAATGTCCTGAATATATCTATTAGGTCCATCTAGTCAAATGTGTTGTTCACAGCCACTGTTTCTGTGTTGATTTTGGTCTGGATGATCTGTCCATTAATGTAAGTGGGGTATTAAGGTCCCCTACCATTATTAGAAAATTCCATATTAAAATCTCTTATGGGGGCACTTTAGTGGCTCAGTGGGTTAAGCCTCTGCCTTTGGCTCAGGTCATGATCTCAGGGTCCTGGGACTGAGCCCCGCATTGGGCTCTCTGCTAACCGGGGAGCCTGCTTCCCCCTCTCTCTCTGCCTGCCTCTCTGCCTACTTACTTGTGATCTCTCTCTCGCTCTGTCAAATAAATAAATAAAAATCTTTAAAATCTCTGATGAACACAGATGCAAAAATCCTCAAAATATTAGCATCTAAATCCAACAATATATTAAAAAAATAATTCACCATGATCAAGTGGGATTTAATCCAGGGATGCAAGAGTGCTTCAATATTTGCAAATCAATCAATGTGATACATTGCATCAATTAGAGAAAGTAAAAAAAAAAATCATATGATCACCTCAATAGATGTAGAAAATGCATCTGACAACGCACAACAACAATTTACGATTTAAAAAAAAACCCTCAACAGGGGCACCTGGGTGGCTCAGTCCATTAAGCTGTCTGCCTTCAGCTCAGGTCATGGTCCCAGGGTCCTGGGATTGAGCCCCACATTGGGCTCCCTGCTCTGTGTGGAGTCTGCTTTTTCCTCTCCCTCTGCCCTTCCCCCTGGTTGTGCTCTCCTCTCTCCTCTCTCTCTCTCTTATTTTAA